TCTGTTTTGATATTGCATCGTTATCTTATATGAAAAACTTAATATATAAATAAAATAGGTAATAAAACAGATATTATGAAAAAAGGAAGAGAAGAAATAAAAGAGAAAAAAGAAAAATTTATTATAGTCCAGCACAATGTATCTAAAAGCATACCATGAATTACTACAATTGTCTTACATATATTATATGTTTTATGAGCTATTAATCTGTTTTTTAAACATATATAATAATTAACTGCACATGGTCTTATAAATAAATTAATGTGATGCTGGCAAAATAAAACAGGGAGGCAAAATAAAAGGGGAAAAAACAAATTGAAATTTTTTATATACATGTACCAGTTTCCTACAATGGATGCAGTCATTATATACTGCAAACATTTGTACTAGTAAAAGTCAAAAATAAATTAAAAACAAAAGTACCACAAGAAAAAATAATAAACATCAACAATGAATAAAGGATATATAATTTAAAACATCCTACACACACACCCACACAAAAGAGCATAAACCAGAATTGGTACTTTGAGAAACAATGAAATCAACAGTTTTTTGCAAGATTAATCAAGAAAAAAACAGATGAGTACAAACTTTAAAAAAAAAAAAACAGATTTTAAAAAGAGACATTACAACAGACACCACAGAAATCCCCACTGGTGATTTCTTTTAATGTGCAAAAGCTTTTTTAATAAGATGAGATCCTAGTTGTTAATTCTTTGAAGTATTTCCCATGCAGTCTGGGTTTAGGTATTAAACCCAGGATCATTAGGAATTATTTTGAAGATGTGTATGCTAACAAACTGGACAATATAAGAGAAAGAGACAGGTTTCTATAAACATGTTATCTAACAAAACTGAAAGATAATATTAAAAAAAAAAAACAGAATAGACCAATAACAATTGTGTCTATTAAGCTGGATAGTGTCAACTTGATTGACTTTGGGATTCAACCAGGGGATTAGTAGGTCATACTAGTGGGTGTGCCTGGATGGGTCATGGAGGCATGGCCTTGAGATCTATGTCTAGCCATTCTTTTCTGGTGCTGTTTCCTTGATCTGCTTCCTGACTGCGATGAACTAAGCTACTTTGCTCCACTATGCCTATTCTCCATGACATTCTTGCCTTGTAGACTGCTGACCATGGACTGAATCTCCCAAAACTATGAGCCTAATTAAACTTCTCCTCCTTTAAATTATGGGTATCAGATACTGTGTCAGAGAAATGGCAAATATGACTCATACAGATAATGATACTGAATCTATAAGTTTCCCAACAAAGAAAACCACAAGATTGAATGATTTCATTGCTGAATTTTAAAAAGCTTTTGAAGAATCACTAATAACAATTCTTCTCAAACTATTTAATAAATATTTTTTGATAAATGGAAAGAACTCTTCCAATTCATTCTACAAGGCTACCATTACCTTATTAGTAAAACCAGACAAGGCCACAACAAAAAATATATATAAACCAATATTCATGATGAACATACATGCAACACACACACAGTAAAATACTAGCAAATTGAATTCAAGGCAACATAAAAAAGATCATACACCATGATCAAATTTATTTCAATCCAAGGATAAAAGGATAGTTCAACTTTTGCAAGTAAAGGCAACATATCACATCAAAAACTGAAAGACAAAAAGCATATGATTTTATCAATAGACACAGAAATCATTGGTAAGATTCAGTATCCCTCATAAAAACCATGAACAAATTAGGGATAAGGGATCATACCTCAACATAATAAAGGTAGCATATGACAAACTCACAACCGATATCATACTGATGGTGAAAAACCAAAAGCATTTCCCCTAAGATCAAGTACAGGACAAGAGTGCCCACTCGCAACATTCTTACTCAATATATTACTAGAAGTCTTATCCAAAACTTAGTAAAGAAAAGGTTTCCAAATAAGAAGGGAAAAATAAAATTATCTCTGCAGATTATAGGATTCTACACATAGAAAAACTAAAGGCACCACTAAAGGCTTTAGTTATTAGAACTGATAAACATATTCAGTAAAGTATGCAAAATCAACATACCAAAATCAACAGCCTTCCTATAAACCAATAATGAATTTGCCAAAAAGGAAATCATTGAAGGAATTCCATTCATAATAGCAAAAAATAAAACACTTTGCAAGAAACATAACTAAGGAAATGAAAGAACTCTGAAGTGAAAATTTAGAAACCATGGAAGAAAGGAATTAAAGAAGACAGGAAAAGATGGGAAGTCTCCCATGTTCATATACTAGAAGGACTAATATTGTAAAAATAGTCATACTACCAAAAGCCATCTACAGATTCAATGAAATCTTAATTGAAATACCAATGACATTCTTTACAAAACTAGAAAAATATCCTAAAAATCCCACCGAAGTTCCAAAATAATCGAAGCACTCTTGACAAAAAGTAAAGCCAGATGCATTATGATACTTGATTTCAAGGCAGGAGTCATATTAATCAAAGCAGCATTATAGTGGCATAAGAACAGACGTAAAATGAATAGAACAGAATAAACAGCCAAAACTAAACCCACAAATTTACACCCAATTATTTCTCAATAAAGGACCAAACTTATACTTTGTAGAAAGAAAAGCATTTTCAATAAATGGTGCTAGGAAAACTATAACTCCATATGCAGAAGATTGAAACTTGGCCCCTACATCTCACTCTGTACAAAACTGAACTGAAGACAGATCAAACATCGAAATATAAGGCCCTAAATCTGGAAATAATAGGAGAATGATGGGCAAAAATATCAAGACATTTATATAGGCAACGATTTATGGATAGGACTCCAAAAAAGATAGGAAACAAAAAGAAAATATGGCAAATAGGAATACACCCAACTAAAATCTTCTGCACAGCACAAGCAAAAATCAACAAAGTGAAGACACAACCTATAGCATGGGAGAAAATATTTGCCAACTGTTCATCTGACAGAGAGTTAATAACCATATACATAACCAGCATAAAACACTTAATAATTTAAAAAGAGTAATCTAATTTAAAAATGAGAAAACTGGATGGAGCTAGTCTGAATAGACACTTCTACAAAGAAAAAATAGAAATGGTGAACAAGTACTTGAAAAATGCTCATTATCACTAGAGATTAAGAAAACAGCAAACCAAAACTACCAGCATATAACATCTCACCTCAGTTAGAATGGCTGTTTTCAGAAAAATAACAAAACAAATGCTGGCAAGGGTATGGAGAAAAAAAGTAACTCTTATGTACCATTGATGAGAATTTAAATTAATAGAGCCATTATGGAACACAATACGGACATTCCTCAAAGTTAAAAATAGATCAATCATAGGATCCAGGAATCCCACTTCTGAATACATATTCAAATGACATGTAATCACCATACCCAAATGATACGTTCATGCCCATGTTTATTGTGGCACTTTTCACAATAGCTAAGATACGGAATCAACTTAGGTGTCCAACAAATGAATGCATCAAGAGAATGTGACATATATACATGATAAAGTATTATTCAGCCATGAGCAAAGATGAGATTATCTTATTCACAACAAGGTAGATGGAATTAGAAGACGTCACATTAAGTGACTGCTACAGTTTAGATCTAAAATGGCCCCGAAATTCTCCTGTGTTTTGAAGGTGAATGGATCATGCAGGTACTGTAATCGTCAGTGGATTCGTTCCTTGATGAGTTCAGTAGCTGAATGTGCTGCTAGGAAGTGGATCCTGGTTGGAGGTGGGTCCCTGAGGGTGTCAGCTGGAAAAATGTATTGTTGTCCCTGGCTCCTCCGTCCTCTCTCTGCTTCCTGGCTGCCATGGGCTGAGCACATTTTCTTCCACCGTGATACTCTGTCATCTTACTTCTGCCTTGGAGCCAGCCAACTCTGGACTGAAACTGAGAGCCAAAATAAACCTCTCCTCCTGGCAGTTGTGGGTGTTGAATATTTTATCCTAGTGATGGGAAAGTAAGACAGTGACATAAACCAGACAAAGAAAAGTGCCTTATATTTTCTGTCTTACATGGAAGATTAAAAAGTTGACCTGACAGTAAAAAGTGTTTACTAGAGACTGGGAAGTTGGGGAGGGAGAATAAAAGGGGTGGCATTTTATTCAAATGTGCTGTATGTATGAATGCATTAACTTTAACATAAATATGTGTTAATAAAATAGAAAATTTAAAAAGATTGGAAGTAGAGGAGAAAGACAAGCAAATTACTAACTACAGGACGAGGCCATCAGAAGTATATCAGATGCTGTGGAAGCATGGTTTAGCATGGATCACTGAACTGTCCCACAAATATCATTTTCCACCGGTCTTATTTTCTTCCTCTTGCAGAGTAAACTTCATGATTCAATATTTCCATTGTTTTTCCACAATCATCATTCCTTTTTTTCCCTTTCATCAAACTGTCTCTCCAAAACTCAAAACTGGGCTGGAGATATTACTCAGTGGCATAGCACCTGCCTGGCAAGCACAAGGTCCTGAATTTGATTCCCAGTACCAAAAAAAAAAAAAAAAAAAAAAATCAAAACACAGGGCTGCAGAGCACAAAAGATGGGAGACAGAAAAAGGAAGTTTTATATGCTGAGCAGAAAAGAACTAGTAGAGATGGAAAAATTTAAGAGGCAGGGGAGGAAATTCATTAACACATGCTATTAATATGTGTTAATAAACAGAATAATCAATGAATACTTTTTATAATAAATTCGCAGACCTCTGAATTACTAGACTTTCTCTGCCTTCTTTTATTCACTTTCAGAGTATTTGTTGAGTGTCTCTAATGTACCAGACCATCTTCCAGGTACTGGAAATAGAAAAATGAAGTCATAGAATGAATATTAAATATGTGTTTTTAAAATATAAATAAGTGGAAATTGCCACAATACCAACAAACTATATATTTATTAAATTAATAAATTTAAACAAAGTTTAACTTCTAATCATGAGAATGATTTTGATAAATGAATATGTAAAATTTGAAACTTTTTTTATTTTTCAGAGTTGGGATGACGGCTTAGCACAGGTGGCTGAAGCATGGGCAAAAGAGTGCAAATTTGAACATAACAGTTGTTTAAAAATACCATATCAATGCTCCAAACGTTTTGAACATGTTGGAGAAAATATTTGGTTAGGTGGATTCAGAGACTTTAATCCCAAAGATGCTATTCGTAAATGGTATAAAGAATACCAACTTTTTGATTTTGATAATCTATCATGTTCTGATGTTTGTGGCCATTATACACAGGTAAATATTTGGCAGTTTATTGATTAGTTCTTATTTGTGTACATTTCAATTGAAAGCCTCTTTTTAGAATTTTATCTTTTGTTTGTTGTCAGCTTCTGGAAAATTCACCTTGAGAGGTGTTGTTTATATTAGATATAGAATTTCATGTAGTGAGTTTTTGTTCAACTTGAAAATCTTACTCTGCTATCATTATGTTGTGTTGCTTCTAAAAAGGAGTCTACTGTAACCCTTTCATTTGTTCCTTTGTATGTAAAGCTTATTTTTTTACTTTTTTTTTTCTTTGTCATATGTCTTGCACAACTTAGTAATAAATGTACCATGGCTTTCTTTATATTTCCTTGCTGCAGTTGACTGAGCTTCTTAGCGTTTTAAATATATAGTGTAAACCAAATGTTTAAAACTACAGTCATTGTCTCTTAAAATATTTCTCTCACTCTCTCCTTTCCAGTGTCCAGTTACTTATGTAGATTACTTGAATTTGCCCCACAGGTTTTTAAATTTAATCTAATCTAATCTGATTAGCGCATATTAGTAGTGCAAAATAATGGGTTTTCTTTTGATATATTAGTGCATGCAGATAACACACTTTATTTCATCCCCCTTGTTCCCTTCCCTGTCCCTCACCTCTTTCCCTGGTGATCACTTCCTTATCTCTAGTAGACTAGATTCTACATTCCTGTCAGCCCCCTCACATGTACTTTTTTTGTAGATTCCCCATATAAGGTAAAACATATGATTTTTAACTTTCTCAGTCTGACTTATTTTGCTTAACACGACGGTCTCCAGTTCCATCCACTTACCTGCGGATGGCACAATTTCCATCTTCTTTGAGCTTGAATAAAATTTATTTCTTAATCCATTCATCTTAATCCATTCACCTTAATCCATTTTCTTCATCCATTCATCTGCTGACAAGCATGGAGGCTATTTCTACAGCTTTGCTATTGTTATTTGTGTTGCAGTACACATGGGTATGCAGGTATCTCCACAGCATGTTGCATTTAATTCTCTTGGGAATATACAGAGGAGTGGTATAGTTGGAACAATGGCCTCTGTGTTTAGTTTTCTGAAGAACTTCCAAATTGATTTCCATAACGGGTGTACTAGATTACTGTCTTAGTTACTTTTCTCATTGAGACAAAATACTCAACAGCCAAAGTTAAAGGAAGAAAGATTTATTGTAGCTCACAGTTTGTAGAGGTTTCAGTCCATAGCTGGTTGCCTCCAAAACAGAGTGGCATGGCACAGAGGCATCGCAGAGGAGCACTGGTCCATGGCAAAGCGCAGGCCTAAGGCAGCAAGTAATGTCAGCAGCCCTCTTTCCATGCCTTATGTTCCACCCAGGATACCCACCCTTAGGGCGAGTATCACTCACATCCAGGGTGGGGCACCCTTAATCCCAGCATTACATATTTAATTCCACCACTACATGCCATAGGTCCAGCTACCCCTAAAAGCTCCACCTGTAACCTCATGAGGCTTTGGGGGAGATATATAGATACAAAACCATAGCAATTGGAATTGTTTCACTCTGCTCCTCACCAGCATTTACTGTTTCTTGGCTTCTTGATGATGGACATTCTAGTTGAGGTCAGATGGAATCTCATTGTAGTTTTGAGTTGCATTTCCCTAATAGCTAAAAAATGTTGAGCATTTTTTCATATCCTAATCGGCCAGCTGTGCTTCTGCTGTTAAGAAGCATCTATTTATTTGCACAGTTTTTGAGTGGTCTATTTGATTTTTTTGGTGTTGACTTTTGTATATATTTTCAGTGTTGTTCTTCTGTTGGAAGAGTGGTTACCAAAGATTTTCTCTTATTTTAGCAAAGTCTGTCTCTTCCCTCTTGATAGTTTCTTTTGCTGTACAGACTGTTTTTAACTTGATGTAGTACCATTTGTTGATTTTTGCTCTTGCTTCCTTGCCATTTGAGTCCTGTTCAGGATGCCTTTCCTTTGACTAAGTCTTTCCGTGTTTCTCCGTGTTTCTTCTTCTTCTTTATGTTTGCTTATTTTCCTTTTGCTTTTTGTTCGTTTGGCTGGTTAGTTGTTCTGTTTGGTTTGGTTTGGTTTTTGAATTTTTGAGACAGGGTCTTGCCATGTAGTTCAGGCTGGGTTTGAACTCACTATGTATCCCAAGCTGGCCTTGAACTTGCGTCAATCTTCCTGCCTCAGCCTCCTGAATGGTGGGATTATAGGTGTGTACCACCATGTTTGATTCTCCTATGTTTGATTCTAGCAGTTAAATGCTTCAAGTGTTGTACCTATGTCTTTGACCCATTTTGAATTGATTGTAGTACAAGACTGGGAACTAGGGATCTACTTTCAATCTTTTGCATATGGATATCCAGTTTCCCCAGTACCGTTTGTTAAAGAGGCTGTTTTTTTCTCTAATGTTTTGGCACCTTCGTTAACAATCAGACTAGAAAAATGTCTGGCATGGGTTTCTTTTTGTGCTATGAGTTTTTTTGTGTGCCTTCTGCCATGTTCCCCTGTTCTGAATGTTTGTTTCTCTGCCAGCAGCATGTAGTTTATGCTACTATAACATCATAATACATTTTTAAGTGAAGTATGGTGACACTTCTAGCACTGCTTCCTTCCCCCTCAGGACTAATGTGGCTATTCTGGGTCTTTTGTGACTTCATATGAATGTAAGAGTTATTTTTCTAGTTCTGTGAAGAATGTGCTTGATCATTTGATGGGAATTTCATTGAATCAGTAGATTTCTTTGCATAGTATGGCTACTTTGACAGTATTGGTCTACCAATCCATGAACAATGGAGGTCTTTCCAATTCTAATATTTCCTTCAATTCATATTATCAATGTTCTGTAATTTTTATTGTAGTTTCTTACCTTCTCGTATAGTTTGCTTCTAAGTATTTATTTATTATTTGTGAAACTACTGTAAATGAAATTGTTTTCCTGATTTCTTTCTCAGCAGGCTCACTAATAGTGTACAAGAAAATTATTGATTTTATAGCAGTACTTTTGTATCAGTACTTTTACTACTATAAACTCAGTAGTAAATCCATCTAGTCCTGCAGTTTTCTTTTTTTTTTTTTTTTTTTTTTTTTTTTTTTTTTTTTTTGGTTTTTCTCCGGTACCGGGAACCGAACTCACGATCTTGCGCTTGCCAGGCAGGCGCTTTTGCCGCTGAGCTAAATCCCCAGCCCCCCTGCAGTTTTCTTTTAAGAGAGAAATTTTTTCCCTCTTCAATTTCACTGCTTGAATTTTTTGCCTATTTAGATTTTGTATGCTCTTAATTCAATTTTTGCAGGTTATATGTATCTTGACATTTATCCATTTTTTCAGAATTCTACAATTTCTTTTCCAACAATTCTATGGATTTCACTGGTGCTTACTGTAAGTATGTTTACAATGAGTACTTTTTCTTTAATTTCTTAATTTGGGCCTTCTGTCTTTTTCCTGTGGTTAGTTTGGGTAACAAGGTATCAATCTTATCTATTTCAGGAATAAATTCTTTATTTATTGATTCTTTGTATTATTCTTTTAGTATCTATTTCAATAACTTCAGCTTTGATCTTTTTTTATTTTCTGCCTTCCACAGGTTTTGGTTTTGATTTGTTCTTGTTTTTCTAGGATCTTGAGATGCATCATTGGGTTATTTATTTGAGATCACTCTTTTTCTAGACATTCATAGCTACAAAATTCCTTTGAACTGCTTTCACTGTGTCTTAAAGATTCTGAATGTTTCCATTATTATTTAATTTTAGGAATTTATTAATTTCCATCCTGACTTCTTCAATGACTCACTGATCATTTAAGAATGTGCTGTTCAATCTTCATGTGTATGTAATTTTCATGCATGTAGTTTTTGTGGTTTCTTTTATTGATGATTTCTAGTTTCATTCCATTGTGTTCTGATAGGATCTATAGGATCGTTTCAATTTTTGTATCTATTAAGACTTCATTTGTGACCTAAAATATGGTCTATTTTGGAAAACTGTGAAGTGCACATTCTGTTGTTGGATAGTACAGTCTGCAAATGTCTGTTAAATTCATTTGACATATGGTGTAGTTCAACTCTGACTTTTTATTGAATTTTTTATCTGGATGACCTATTGATGAGTATAGGGTATTAAAGTCACCCAGCATAAATGTTCTGAGGTCTATTTGTTCTTTTATTCAAAGTAGTGTTCATTTTATGAAACTGGATTCACTGTCATTCTCTTCTTAGTGGATTTTTCCTTTAACCAATGTATAATGACCTTCTTTCCTTCTTATTAATTTTACTTTGAAGTCCTTTTGTTGGATAATACTGCTTGCTTTTGAATTCCAGGTACTCCAAGTATCCTTTTCCACCCTTTCATTTTCAGTTTTTCTATGTCTTTGGAGGTGAGATGTGTTTCTTACAGTAAACATACATTTGGATCTTATTTTCAATCTAATCTGGCAGTCTGTGCAATTTTATTGGAGAATTAAGACAATTTACATTGAAGGTTATTATTGAAAATATGTAATTTCTATATTTTTTTTTTGCTTTGAGGAGTTTTATTTATTCCTGATTTTTATTTCTTATCTACTCTTCCAATAAGATTTATTCTTTGCTATGCTCTCATGGTTGTGGAAATCATCTATATTCAGGATTTCTTTTGGTGTTTTCTGTAGTACTAGCTTCATGCTCATGTATTTCCTTATTTTGTTTATCTTGGAAGGTCTTTATTTCCCCTTCAATTCTAAAGGATGGTTTTACAGAACATAGCAATCTAGGTTGAAAGTTATTTTCTTCTAGAGCTTAAAATACAGCAAACCAAGCCTTCTTGGCCTCCAGAGCTTCTGTTAAGAAATGTTCTTTTGCACGATGCATTTGTCATTACAAGTGATTTGGTGTTTCTTACAGATTTTTATACTTTTTCTCTGCTCTGAATTTTTGGCAATTTGACTTTGATATGTTGGGGTGGTTTTTTTTGGTGTTTTTTTTTTTTTTGGCGGTACTGGGGATCGAACTCACAACTTTGCGTTTGCAGACAGGCACTTATGCCACTGACCTATAGCCCCAGCCCCCTGACTTTGATAGGTTGTAACAAGGTTCTTTTCTGGTCATGTCTATTTTGAATTCATAATTCCTTCAGTTTCCTGTGTTTTTATGTTGAGATTTTTGCATCTGCTGGGAAGGACATCACTTCCACTAGTGCAGTTTTTTACTGAGTGGAGTTCTTTTTATGATATATCCTGGGCTGTAGATATGTCTCAGTGTGAAACCATGCACTCCCCCTTTTCAGAGTACTAGATTTTATCCTTAATTCCACATTCGAAAGACAGAATAACTACCAGTAACACAGACATAAGCCGAACATATGTGAACATATAATAAAAACTTGTTTCAAAATATTTCTACTATTTCACTAACTCAGAAAAAGAAATGAAAATAAGGTAGAATATGATAGAATAAATAAATGAAAATAAGGTAGAATATGATAGAATAAATAATTATAGTGGGATTAATACTAATACATAAAAAAGGTGAGGAAAGACAGGAGATAGGAGAAAGTATGAGGGAAAAGGGAAGGGAAATATAAATGGAAAGTGAGAGATGAGATAGAGAGATTAACTAATGAAAAAATTAAATAATCCCCTGGAAAATTTAATGTGGATAAACATGAAAAAACAACATAGAACATAATAAAAACGAAAGCAAAAATTCACACACAAACATACATAACATACACATGCATACATACATCAAATAATCCAACAATAAAAAAGGCTTAATGTTCCTCTTTGTGGAGGTATTTATAATGAAGACAATATTTTTCTCAAATATCTATTATTGGACACTATCTGATGTAAGGTGAATTGTGAAAACTTTAGTCCAAAATTTTCCATCTCAGCCTCTGTCCAAGCAGGAAAAATTGCTTATGGAAGTTTGTAGGCTAAACTTCACCCCTCTCTGGTCACAGATAAGCGCTAAGGCAAAGCTGTCAGTGTCAGGACTACATAACACCAGTATCTCTGGCTTTTGTACACATGGCTAGTGTTGGAGCTGCCCACGAAGCCTTTCACATATCTTGCCCGTTGATTGGTCAGGACTGTGGGCTGCAGTTGCAAAAACCACCAGTCGATATTCTTGAAGACATAACTGGAAAGTGTCTCCACCACAACACACATTCTGAATGGCTTTGCTCAGTGGAGAGGTAGTTGGGTGCACAGTGTCGGGCTTGGTTGAGAAGCCACTGGCACATGGCTTTCCACCAGTCCCAGAGGATGCTCCTGATCCTAGTCCCCTATCCCTGACAAAACCTTACATAGCTGGATTCTTTTCTTTCAAAGTGCAACTTAAACATACATATTTTTTCCTCTACCTGGCTGAATGTGCTGTGTAAATGCCAGTTCCATTTGTCTTGCTAGGCAACCAAGCAAGGGACCTTCCAGACCGTAGAGTTCTCCCTACCGCCCAGCACAGCCACCACATTGTTTCTCCCTTCCCCATGATCTTACTTAGTGTCACGTTATCATTTTCCTCAGCCCCGGGTGAATCTTAGGGAGAGTTTGCCTTCTGCTCCCTGAGAAGCAGCTGTTGCATCTTAGACATATAATAAATGTGGGGAGCAGGCACGGTAGCCCCCATGTGTAACCCTAACACTTTGGGAGACTGAGGATGGATGGCACATTGAAGCCTTGCCTGGGCAACTTAGCAAGACCCTGTACCAAAATTTAAAAATAAAAATGGGCCTAGGATGTAGCTCAGTGCAAATGTCCTGGGTTCAACCACCATTCACATGCACACACACACACACACACACACACACACACGGAGGGGTTTTTCTCTCCTGCAAGACCTGTGAGACTTCTTAAAATGAGGGCTTCTTAAAATGGCTCCCCCTCCCAGCACTGCTTAAATCTACTGGGTCATTACCTCTCCCACACTCAGACATTTGGCAGGACTCAGGTTATCTTTGTGCTCAGGCTGTGAACCTGTCAGGTAGCAGAGTACATTCTTAAGTGAATGTTGAGATTTTCTCTTTCAACCCTCCACCACTGCACTGGGAAATGTTCAGTGCCGGTGCACACTATTTTGTTATTTCACTTATTATTTTAAGATCAATATTCTGTGTTGCACTTGGAGATTAGCTCACTGAAGTTGCATTCCAGTGATTTCCTATGATTATACCATCTCCTCAGTCATAACTGTTGATTTGGACAAGTATCCCAGAGCAATTTGTGAGTGCTTCTGCCTCTACTCTACCATGATCACTTATATTTTTGGATGTACTTGTCACCTTTTTCTTGAATTCTTCTCTCTCTGTGATTAATTTCAGATAGGTGTGTAGCATGTCTTTAAATTTACTAATCTTTCATAATGTTTATTTTCAACCTTAGATCTTAATGTTTGCATCTCTAGATTGAGTACTGTTTGTGTCTTCAATAAATACACTACTTAGTATATTCAATATTTCTCCCAGCTTTTTTGGCTGCATATAGCTTTTTAAGCATACAACATAGATATAATAATAATTTTCTATTGTCCCTGGCAAGTCCAGCTCTGCATTAGTTTCAAAGAAATTATTTTGTTCTTCATTATCAATATTTTCCTGCTTTTTATCTTGTTGTATATGTTATTATACACCTAACATTGTAAAATTTTAACCCTGCTGGGTATTAGTTTCTTTTTTTGGGCGGGGGGGTTTCCGGTACCAGGAGCTGAACTCACGACCTTGCACTTGCCAGGCAGGCGCTGTGCCGCTGAACTAAATCCCCAGCTCCTGGGTATTAGTTTCACTTGGGTTTTTCATTCAACTTTGAGACAGGGCTTAGCTGTGCATTTCAGGCTTGCCTTGAGCTCACTAGTCCCCAAACTGGTTTTGAACTCACTGTGATCCTCCTCCCTCAGGTTCCTGAATACAGGGATTACAGGCAAGCATGGCCATACCTAGCAATTTATTTGTATTCCTACAAATATTGTTTAGAGTCTTCTAGGTTACAGTTAATTTATATATTTGGTCCTTTTGATTAATGTTTTTAAATATGTTAAGTGGAATGAAAGCAGTGTGTAGTCTAAGGGTAACTGTATCTCACTACTGAAGCAAGGTTCTTCTGAGTACTCTACACAATGCCCAGAGACTTTTGAAGTGCTGCAATCAGGATAGTGAGGACATGTCCTGCTTTTGCCTTGTGTAAGCCTTGGTGTATTCCCTCTAACTCTTACAGGTAATTCTCTCCTAGGCATAGGGTAGTTTTGTCACATGAAAGCTCTGCTGAGTAGTTGATGAAAACCATCTGCAGATACCACAGTGTATAACTGTATAATTTTCACTTGTCTTATACCATTCCCTCTTAACTCCTGCCAACTTGGTCTCCCCAGACTCTCAGTTCAGACTTTCATCTCTATGAGTCCTTCAACCTTTTTCTGGTTATCCTCTTCCTAAGTTGTGGACTGGAAACTCTCACAAGGAAATAAGCTGTAATAGTAACACCACACAAGCCTTATTTCTCAAAGTCTCAGATCATCATTTATTACCTGATGTCCAATGTCTTGAAAACCATTATTTTCTGAATTTTTCCAAATTTTTTGGTAGTTTTAGGCAGGAATACAAATTTAACCATGTTACTCCTTTTTTTTGTTGTTTTTTTTGTTTTTTTTGTTTTTTTTGTTTTCTTCCGGTACTGGGAATCGAACTCACGACCTCCCACTTGCCAGGTAGGAGCTGTGCCACTGAGCTAAATCCCCAGCCCCTCATGTTACTCCTTTTTGATGAGAGGTGCAAATCATTTTTTTTGCCAATTCTAGACAGGATACCAAGCTCCTAAGCAATGGTGAAGAAATACAAAGAGCTAACTTTCTTCACCAAACTTCCCATCTGTACAAGTTGAATTAATATTTAGTGGCCTAAGGAAATCATTTTTATTCTCCTGAGGTTCGGTGAACAAGAAAAGTACCCATTTCCATGTTCTGCTTCTGTTTATTTTCTTTTGTTCAACAACAGGATGGTCGTCTAAGTCTGGACATCCTCTAGGACATCAGAACAGACGCTGTTGGCAAAGACTATGACTTGGCTATTACTCGTAAAATTGATAGAAATCAAAGGTCAGATGTACCAATAACAAGCAGAATGTGGCATCAAGGCAAATCACAGCCACTGTTGTAAAGAAAGGAACCTATTCCCACATTTGTCTTCTTCCTTAGCATTGTTACAAAAGAAATGGGAGCTTACTCTTCATTTCCCAACTTACACATAAATTTAAATAGTTATGAATAGGTGCATTCTTCTTATTGATTCAACAATCATATCTTGCTTAATGTTCTAAACAAAATGAGGTAAAAATTTCCTGCATTTACCACTCACTGATATATTAAAGGTATATCCAGATGCCAATTTCCTGAAAGCAGTACATTTTAAAGCTACTCATAGTGCATACTTATATCACTACTTAAACATCTGATGCAAATAGAATTTTGTGGGTTATTCATGAAGTAAAATTTTAAACGTGATTTCTTGAAAATGCATACTCTTGCAATTGCATAATTGATTAACTTTTTATAAATTTCAAAAGGAAAAGAATCTTTCATCTTGCTTGATCTTATATTAAGTGAGAAGCTAGTTTGTAATTGATCTGTCATGCCTAGCCACATGTGGTAATAAGCAAAATTCATCTCTTAATATTTGGTACACTGGGCTTTTCATTAAACTGTGCTATCTTTCAGGCAGCCACACAGCTATTAAAATATGATTTGTGAAATTATAAATTCTGGCTATACAACATTTATGAAAAAAGTGACTGACCTATCAGCTTATGGACTAGTTTAATACTTTTTGTTAGTGAAAATCTCAAATAAAAATAGAAAATTTATCTGTGTTATTAAATTTTTCCTCGAATTATTTTATTTCCCAAGTGCAATAAATCAAGTATTTGTCCATTTTTTTCCATTTGAAGAAAAGAAAGAATTCCATTCTATAATTGCTACAAAGGACTAGTAATTTTTTCACCTTTTATCACTCTCCTGTGGTGAGTTTTCCACAGAAGTCTACTTTCCTTTGAATAATGTGGACATTTCTTGTAAATAGGTAAAAATAAATACCATCCTTATGGCAGAATTTGTTTTTCATGAACTCAGTATGTTCTTAATTCATCTTACCTATCTCTTGTGACTTGATATTGATAAGAATATATGTAAAACTAAAAAATTCAAAATGTAACAATAAATTAAGTAGATTTTATGAGAAAAACATAATATTTTTCATTTATAGTCTGATTTTAATGTTGATTATATGATATGTCCATAGGGAGAATTAAAATTTCCTAAATCATGTGAAAGAAATTATAATTTTAGCTATGCATTATAGTATAGATGATATATTTTTCTTTTGATTTATGAAAATTATCTGTGAAGAAAAACTAGCTTAATAGCACTTGTAAAAGCAACCTAAAGAAAAAGTCACTTAAACTAATAGGTTATAGAAAAAATATAGTGAAAAAATATTTACATAGTATTTGTAATAGCATGACAAAGATTATACCTATTTCCATGATGCATTGTTTACATACAATTGTTTTAAATATGTTGGTTTATAACTTCTTTCCTTATAGATAGTTTGGGCCAATTCACATAAAGTTGGTTGTGCAGTTACAATCTGCCCTAACTTCGGGGGATCTACATATGCAATATTTGTATGTAACTATGGACCTGGGTAAGTTACTTTGCTATTAGAAGTATTTTACGTTGGATGTTAAATGTTCAGTATTTACAAAAAGAGAACCATATGCTAGAAATAAATATTTTTTGTATTTTTTTCTTTAGAACTTTATTTATTTCTTTAGGTTTTCTGAGACACAGTCTCATTATATATTCCAGTCCAGCCTGAAACTTGTGATCCTCATGCTTCAGCCACTCAAGTGCCAGGGTTATATGCACACTCCACCACCTCTGCAGTACTTTATGACTTTATTGCGTTACTCTCCCCTTACAAAACAAAAAGTATACTCAATTGCCCTATACTATTTCTTTAATAAACTAATCTCCTTATTTCTATTAAGAAATGTTATTTTATGGCTATGAGTAACAAAATATACAACACAAAGTTGGTTGAATATTACAAGGTCTCTGTATTTTTGATAAGACAAATTTCACTCTGTAGTACTACGATAGGATAGGTGAAAATAGAAAGTGATGAAAGAACACTGCCTTGTATAAAGAACTATACTTGTAGTGAAATATTTAAATGAGAGTGAAAATGAGAGAAATTGTTTCTTAAATTTAAAAAAGAGATAATATAAAATTACCTGCCACAGTAATATCTAAATACTGGAACATGAAAAAAATCTGGCAAATGCTTCTCTAATGTAATAGGAACATAATGAGAAAATTATGTTCTCATTATAATGAGAATATTTCTCAGGATAATGAGAAAATTATTGAGAATGAAGGCAAAAGCACTGTTTTCCAATAAAAGAAAACCGTAATTTTAATGCCCTCCTAATAATTACTTGTTTAAATGGAAATATAACACAAACATTGTGAAAATTCCAAAAGTAAAATTTTAGAATTCTAATTCCAATGGACCTATACAAAGAATAGAAAGACAGTTAATATGATTTTCCACAAACAAAAATTTTTAAATAAAATGTACAAATAATGAAAACTCAGACTAAGACAATCTATACAGGATTGGCAACCAGGAAGAGATATATCTAAAAACCACTGTTGGTAGATAAAAATGTGTGTATCTATTTCTGATTCTCACTTAGAAGCACAAATAACAAAAATATATTACCTAAAATCTTAGTACAAATTACGGTTTTGATAGATATTAAAGAATGGCAGAGCTACTGGCACTTATTACCATGTTTTCTTTCATAGACATTACTCACTGAATTTGGAAGGAAAATATAAAAATAATTAATAGGAGATTAAGACTCAAGATGTACTGAACAAATCATTTTCAGATCCAAGCAAATCATGTTCATAATGGACTTCTTATAGGTCCTGTGGCATAAGAAGATATAACAACATCTACCAACGAAGCAATAGGAACCAAAATGCCCCATCACTGAAACAACCAAAATCAGAAAACAGACAAAATATAGCACATGAAGCAATAGTGTTTAAGTACCTCTCTATCATATGATGAAGGACTGACACATGGAGGGAAATTAAGAGGATGTTAGACATCCTGAACTGAAGACACAAAGCAGAGTGCAAGGAAGCCAATACAGGCAGAGATTATGAGGGAAAGTACTAGAAAAAAAGTCCACACAGAAAGCCAGGTATATAATTCAGTGGCATAATGCCTGCCTGGTAAGCATAAGGTCCTGAGTTCAATTCCTGGTACCAAAAAAAAAAGTCCACATAGAGAGAATCCTGGAGATCTTCAAAGGGTATGCCTCCCACACCCAGCATATACTGCTTGTCCTGTGTTTATGAAGAAATTGAAGCTAGGATAGGAAATATGTGAAAGAATCAGAAGACACAGTTCCTGGCATTCACACAGGAAGCAGAACTAGAGGGCTTCAGACTCCATGAACAATTTGCACAATAAAATTTTGAAGTCAAAATGTTCCCAAGTGACATAACTCCATCCCAGAAAGTTTGAAGATGTAGAGTAATAACATGATACCCAGGGCCAGGGATATAGCTCAGTGGTATAAGTGCCTGCCTGGCAAATGCAAGGTAGTGAGTTTGATTCCCAGTACCAAAAACAAAAAACCCAAACAACAAAAAAAAGAAAACATGATACCCAGAATCTAATACTTATAATGTCTAGCATGTACTTAAATATTACCAAGCATGCAAAGAAGCAGAAAAATAAAATTTATAGGCAGGAAGGTAATAAATCATTTGAAACTGATGCAAATATTATCAGACCACAGTGCAATAAAATTGGAAATCAATGGAAAAAGAAAACACAAAAACTTCATAAACACCTGGAATTAAATAGCACCCTCTTGAACAACCAACGGGTCACAGATGAAATTAAAGAAGAAATTAGACAGTTTCTGATTGTACTGGGAAACCCACACAGAACCGGACCAGGCCATCTGACATGAGAAGAGTCTTTATTCGGCAGGGAAGCAAGGTGGTGGGCTGCCTAGCAGACCAAGACAGCCCCGAGCTGTGCAAAGTGTTGAGTTTTTAAGGGTTTTTTCGGGGAGGAAGTTTGTGGGCCAGAACAGCCAAGGGAGAGGGATTTGTGGTTAGGGCTGTTAACTTGCAAGAACATTTTGCAAAACCTGCAAGAACACTTTGTAAGATTGTGGGATTTTTTGTGCGAGGACAGCAGGTGCTTTTGGGAGCGATGCTAGCCCTTGAGGTTGGGCCCATTGAGAAGTGTAAAAGTGCAGCCAAAGTACTTTTTTCTTTGCAATGGGCGGGGGTCCTTTAGGGAGACCTAACATCCCAGACTTGGTCTAATAGGGATAAGGGCAAAGTGTCTCATCAGTGACTATTTCCTCCTGGACTGGGGCGGCGTCCAGGGGACTCGTCTGGGTCTTCTAAGGCTATCAGCCGGAACTGGGGCTCTGAAAGCATAAGGTTAAAATTTTGGGTTGTTAGTTTTTGTACAGTGTTGTGAATGAGGGAGACAATGCAGGGGTCCACAAGGAGGAGGAGGCAGATGGCCAGGAGGGGGCCGACGAGTGGGAGCAGCCACAGGAGAAGGGCTGTCCACAGCCCAAAGGTTCCCGGTGTGGCAGATGAGAGGCTTTGGTGGAGGAGATTGGCTTGGTCACGCATTTGTTGGATTTTTTCTTTTGGATGAGACCTGACTGGTTGGCATAGACACAGCATTCATTTCCCAGAAACAGGCAAGTGTCACCCCTTTCTGCCGTGAGGAGGTCTAGGGTGCACTTGTTTTGGAGGACAACTGTTGCCAGTTGGTCTAACCGTGAATAAACTAGACAGAAAGTAGAAGAAACATGATCAATGTGGTTGGCCAGTTGTTTACTGAGTTGAAGGTTGAGACCAACAGATGTGTGCAGGGCAGAAGCTCCGAGAGCTCCTGCCAATATAGAAGTTTCCAATATCACCCTGATGGAGATGCTGTGTCAGGAGCACCTGGGTGAGTGCAGAAATTGTTGTGTAAATTTTGTGTGGGTATAGACCTTTAGACTAGGAAGGGGGAGGACTGGGAGGCAGGTTTTATCGGGACGATAGCAAGGGAAGAGCTCAAAGTCATGTAGGAAGTAGTGGGGGTATGTGTCTAGGGCGGATGAACCCAAGGGTGGCACTATGGTCTGGTTGCAAGGCATGGACAAGCTTTTGGCTGTGCACTTTTCATAGCAGGTGATGTAGGCTCCTGGGGGTATATAGAGTTGGGGTTTTCTCATAAGGGACTTTGAGTTGAACAGACTGTAGATGAGTTGTGATACCAGGGTACAATAGTTATAGTGGGGTCTAATAGGGCTGTGTAAATCCAGCATTTACATAGGTCATAAGGGGTTTGGTGAATGATCTGAAAGAGGATCTGGGTGAAGTTATCTAGGGCAGTGGCAGATTGTTTTGGATCTTGGCAGTGACAGGAGATGGGGGAGGCTTGGATTGTGGTTTGACAGTGGCTCAAGGAGCGGGTGGTTTAGATTGTGAGTGGGCCTTGATAGTGGCTTGAGGCAAGGGGTGGTCGAGGTAGGAGTGCTTGGATCTTAGGTAGTGAACTGAGGGAAGGGAGAGTTCTGTCTTGGCTTTGGAGATAGGAGGAATACAGTGTGAAGGTGTGAGAGATGAAGGGAGGGCCTGCAGAGGAGTAAATCATCGACATATTGGATTAAGTAGCTAGGCTTGAAATCGAGAGTGGCCAGGTCAGTCATAAGGGCTTGACCAAAGTAAGGGGACTATCCCTGAATTCCTGTGGGAGGACTGTCCAGGTCAGTTGTGACGTGGTCTGTGTGATGGGATCTTCCCATGTGAAGGCAAAAAGAGGATAGGAGGAGGAGTGAATGGAGATGGTGAAGAAAGCATCCTTGAGGTCGAGGATTGAGAAATGGGTTGTGTCTGGCAGGATGTGGCTAAGGAGGGTGTAGGGGTTGGGGACCATGGATGTGACCAGGTGGATGGCTGAGTTGATGAGGTGGAGGTCCTGGACAAGTCCATAGGAGCCATTTGGTTTGGTCATGGGGAGTATGGGAGAGTTGTAAGGGGAGCAGATAGGAATGAGCAGTTTATTTGTAAGAAGCCTGTCTATGAGGGGTTTTAGGCCCAGGCGGTGTTTATGTGAGATAGGGAATTGAGGGCGATTTGGGAAGTGAGAGGGGTCTAGAGGTGTTATGAGTATTGGATTATGGTGTTGTGTTATGATGGGTTGTGATGTGTCTCAAACCTTGGGATTTACCTCGTTGATTGCCAAGAGGAGCTCGAGGTCGGGTTGGGAGTAGGGGGTAATGGGAGAATGAATGGCCAGGAGTAATAAGGGCGAAAGAGGCTTTGGAAAGGAGAGAGTTATGCGTAGCTTGGCAAGAGCGTCTCGTCCCAGCAAGAGGGTGGGACATTTGGGCATTACTAAGAAGGAATGTGTGAACTGTTTATGACCGGTCAAACAGGATAGGAGTCCCATTGAGGGTGGGTGTTGGGGATGGCCCTCGACCCCTACTACCACAATCTGTGATGGCAAAGTCTATCCTGCATAATTTGGGAGGATGGACCATGAGGCCCCTGTATCAACAAGGAAGGAAACTGACTTACCTGCCACCTGGATTTGTA